TTTTGACAAGTATCATTATTATGGAAATTAGTATTATGTCAATTCTGTTTTTCTTTTAATATTTTCTTCAGTGAAGAGGATGGGCCAATCCTGGAGGTACTGCAATACCAGGCCAACCCGTGGCCAGGACGGAGCAAGCTCCTACTCCATGGCCTAATTTCAAAAAATCAGTTTAATATAGAAGCTACTCAATGAGCAGCATTTCAGATATTAAGCTGAAAAGAACAGATACTCCTTTTTGATTTAAGAGTTAACGTAACTGAAAAAGAACAAGTAACAGGAAAACAAAGAACGAAGCGTTAAACTCTCAGGCAGGCTGCCCACGGCAGACCGGAATACGTGAGCCTACGAAACTCCCTGCCAACTGAAACAAACACTAAACACCAAACAAAACAAAACCTAACAAACCTAGAAACATACCTAACAACACACATTATACCAAAGAAACCCAGTTTATACCTTAAGGACCAATTTATCGTGAACTAACAGGGCAAGAACACCCTGGATGCACCATATTTTACGAAAGGCAGAATAATCCGATGAACATCTTAGAAATTCCAACTTAATTCGGGACCGGACAGCATCTCTCACTCTGAAAAGAACAGATACTACACATGATCTTAGCCAAAAGGCCGAGAAGCGATGCCCTACAAATGCTTCCAATCATACTAATATAAAATAACAGTTTGCTAAACTACCGGTGTTGGAAATGCTCAAGCTTATTAATTCAATATAATATTTGACTCTAACACATTTTAAATAAATATTTATATATTATATATAACTTAAAATATATGTTAATGTACAGAAAAAAACCTCAATTGTAGACAATGTATTTTTGTAAAACATTAACGAAATTTTGGCATACGCTAATTTAGTAATTTGCATATGAATAAATGGACACAATCAGTAACAAAAGCCTATAAATTCTAAAAGCAAACAGACAGTTGTTATTCATTTTGTTGTTAACAGATTCCAGTGAAAGGGGATCAGTGGATTGTACACCTGGTATAGATAACCTGGTGTTTATATTACTCAAACTTCTAACTTGTTTACTTTTAAATTAATTAAGTAATGTATAATATAATAATGTAT